GTATAGAAGATCAAAAGTTCTTGAGGCCAATCTGGGACATGTGAGATCCTATCATGAATAAATATATTAACAAATAGACAAGTAAATAAGCCAGGAACAAATTTGACTCAGGCTAAGATGTAGCAGAGAGGCCAGCAATGTGGGTGTGTCATGTGTGGCGTCCAGGCAAGTAGACACCTGAAGTAGTGTCAGACAGTGACCGGTGGTGGCATAGTAGAGGGTAGAATTGAGCTCGGAGCTCTGTTCTCTAAGCAAATGCTGACTCAGATGATCTGTATAATCATAGCGAGTCATGTAATTTTTCTGTCTGCCCCTGTTATGGCTTTCAACTTGTAAGGATCTAAACTCACCCTGAGACAGGCCTCTGGGTATACCTGGGGCTGTGTCTAGATTATGTCAGTTTCTGGGTACCTCCTGTGAAGGATACCTTGATTAGGGTAGCTGCAGTGAGAAGACTCACTCGAAACGTGGGTGTCACCATCCCCTAGGCTGAAGCCCTGGATCACAGAAGACAGAGAAGGCTGAACACTAGCATCCATCCCTCTTAGCTTCTTCATTGCAGATACACTGTAGCCAGCTGCCTCAAGGTGTCCACCACAGTGGACTATAACTTCAAACTATGAGCCAAGATAAACCCCTTAGTATGGTGCTTTTGTCAAGATGTTTAATCACAACAGGAAAAGGAGGATAATATTGATACACCTACATCAATAACAGAATGGGATGAAATAACACCCACTATTGTGGTGGGTGGGCCTTTTGGACAAGCATTTTACAACTAAGTTACATCTTTAGCTCTACATCTCCTGCTGAGCACTCAACACACTGGACTCAGCTAGCACAGAAGTGACACTTTGTTGCCCAGCTGAGTGTCCAAGAATCCTGACTTTCAGAAACTAGATAACCATCAGCAGTGTCTTCTGAATTTATCCATTTAAAGATCCTTTTTTTGGTGATAACTTATTAAGGTAACCGACCACCGGCTCTCTCGTTCACACACTTGGCTACACACCAGCAAAATGGAGTGAGCTCCTCCTCCTCCTCCAGTGTCTGCTTGTTGGCAGCTCTGCCTCTTACACCCTTTTGGGATTTCTAAAATTTCCCTTTGTAATCTGCTAAAAAGTGATCCATAAACAATTTATTAGTAGGTTGGGTGTGGAAACTCCTTCAGCCAACAGCCTTTAGGATACCAACCTACTTTGGGAGTGTCCTCGTGTACTTTAAGTGCAGATGAAAAGTGTGTGGCCTTTTATTTTCTGTTGGACTCAGTTCCAGTTCCCAATGCACACAGACAACTGTGGATCCCTACCCTTACTGTGGGTTTAATCCCCAAATAAATAAACTTTGTTATACTCCATTCTGGGCTGTTGTGGAACTCTTTGATACTACTACAATTTGGTGCCCAACATGGGGCAATGTAATCCACATAAAGCCCACGAAAGCTTAAAAAATAAAGGACCGTGCACCCTTTTTCATTTGCATTTATAGTACATGAGAGCATGCCCAAAGTGGGCTGGTATCTTAAAGGCTACTGGCTGAAGGAGTACTCACAACAGTGATGCATGCCTGCACTCCCAGAACTCAAGACATGCAGGGACGATGGTCGGGATTTCCAAGTTACATAGTGAATTAAGATCAGCCTGAGTTACATCATATCTTGTCTCAAATTATATATTTTTTGGTTTTATTTTAGACAAGGTTCTCTATGTAGCCCTGGCTGTCCTGGAACTCACTCTGTAAATCAGGCTTGCCTCAAACTTAGAGCTCTGCCTGCCTCTGCCTCCTAAGGATGGAGATCAAAGGTGTGTGCCACCACCACCACCCAGCTCAAATTTTCAAGAAAAATAAAAAAAATCACAGTTATGTATCAGACACTGCAGAGAAAATGTGATTTAAGTCAAATTCTGGGATGTAATTTTGGAGAAGGGAATAGGATTGAAAAGAGACATACTTAATGTTTCTTGTTTTTAAAATGTTTATTACATTGTGAATTGTATACACGTGTGCTCATGAGCCACAGAATTCATGAAGTCAGGGGACAACTTGCAGGTGTTAGCTTGCTCCTTTTAAGTCAATCCGCCACATAAGTCCTGGGGATTGAACTCAGGTTCTCAGGCTTAGTGGCAAGCATCTGTACCCACTGAGCCATCTCAGCAGCCCCATGTTTCTACTTTTTAAAGACAGACAGCCTGGGCTCCAGATGTAGGGTATAGGTCAGTGGCAGAGCACTTACTTAACATGTGCAAGCCGTGAGTTCAATTCCCAAGCATCGCAGTAACAGGAACAGGAGGTGACCGCTGAGATGTTAGAGTGCTCCATGTTTACAGCAGTATAGGAAAGGATGCGAATTTTTAGCCGTTCAGAGTTTATTTGTAAAGAAAAAACAATTTTACTTAACAAAGCATCCAATTTTGATTTTCAAGGTAATAAAAAAACCACACAAACAAACAAAAACGACACACATGCTTGCTATGCCAGACCATCTGGACCATGGCTCAGGTTAACCTCAGAAGATACTGATAAAAATGACATAGATCCAGATTTCACAGGTGCTAGGAATATTAGATGGTATGTCTTGTATGAATACAGAACACTTTCCCCTTTTCTTCTCAGTTACTGACTTCCTACACACTTCAATGGTCTAGAAGTTTCTTAGTGCTAAGGTGGCACCTGTGCCCACAAGCCCTGATAAAACATCCCTCCAATGATCCACTGACGTGCACTTGAAGACACTGGGGACACCAGTTTATCCGTCCTGGAAGGTGCACAGCTGGCCAAGTGCTCTCTCTCCATTTACTCCGTTTTTATTCTGGAACCTCTGATACCTCCTTTGATTCAGGGGAGTGGCAGGGAGTCCAGGATGACTGGTGCCAGCAGGCCACTATGGGTACTTCTCTGCCCCCTGGTGGTTGCATCAAGAACCCTAGCAAGCCCAATTCTGTGCACTGCACATATTGGCTGCTGGCCCTAGACCACTCTCTGACCTCAGGACAGTTTGAGGTCTGACAATCTTCAGATAAATGCCCTCATGGACACTGGACATAGCAGCAACTGGGAAGGCTGGGGAAAAGCATGTCCTGCCTTGTCTTGACCAAGCTACACTGGCTTTTGAACATTAAAGAAAATGTTTCAGAGAGAGTAAAAAGTCAAACTTAGTTTCAAAACCTGTTCTCATGGCTTCTTCCTTCACTGACTCGCAACAGTGCTTGCTTTTTCCCTTAACATTGGCCAAAAAAAAAAAAAAAAAAAAGAAAAACCAAAGATGTGGGAGAGGGCAGGGGCATTTAAAGTTCATCAACAGTGTTTTCGTTACTGGAGTTGTCAGGTGAGAGCCTGGGGGCTGGCAGCCCTAACAGATCTCAGCCTCCTGTCCTCAACAGACCAAACAGAAGCAGAAAGGTTTATTCAGTGTGCAACAAAGAGTCCTCAGCCTTCTCCCTCTCCCAGCATGACACCATTGGAGGAATCCCAATTTGTGGTAGACTGTCTCAGGACGCTGATACCTGGCTAGGGTGTGCGTGTGTGCGTGCGCGTGCATGTGTAAGGGTGGCACCCGCATTTAACCTCAGCACTCAGGAAGCAGAGGCAGGTGGATCTCTATGAGCTCCAGGCCATCCAAGGCTACATGGTGAGACTCTTGTCTCAAAAAAGGAGAAAAAAAAAATAAGGGAGGGGCGGAGAGGTGGCCCATCAGTTAAGAGCGCTTGCTGTTCTTGCAGAGAACTCACATAGTGATTCACAACTGTCCATCGCTTCAGTTCCAGAACACACAATTCAGAGATGTGTGTGAGCAAAACTCATATACATAAAGTCTATAAAACAAACTAATGGGAAAGGGTGATACAGAAGGAAGGTATCAAGTGTCTATATTTTCATTCCTGCCTGTATGATTCCATTTCTGCAGAGTCCTTGTCAGGAAGCACCCCTCAAGCTTCTGCATAAGAGGTAGAAGAGTTCCTTTGGTGTAACTGAAGCCTTAGCTTATGGTTCTCCAGGTTAGAACCCCAGGCTGGGCAAGGTGGGACTGTGAAAATTTCCTAAGAATTTGTTCTAGCAGAAGGTGCTCACTCCAATTTCTATAGACATGGCATGACAGAAGATTCTAGTGGCCAATCAGGTTCCCAAAGAACCTGATTGAGAGACTGAAGGTTAGCTGTTAAGGGCCAAGTTTGGCTTAGATTACCTCTCAGCCCTGCCTTCCAAAAGCTTCAATCCAATACACTGGAAGAGGACACCTGGAACCTGCAGACCAGGCAAAGGGACTGCAACCAGCAGGGGGCAGCCTGAGTCCGCAGCAAGACAATTCCTCTTGGAGAACACCAGCTCACACAGGTGAAAGACCCTCCTCCAGGAACATAGACTTGCCCCCAGGGCTTTACTTTCCAACCAGCTGTGTCATCCACTCCACGAGGCTTTGGGCTGAAAACCAGGGCGGAGGAGTGAGCAGCTGTCTTACTCTGGATTTGCTCAGGGATTCCAGAAACAAGTCCTCTAGATTTGGCACCTTGCTGGGAGTGGTGGTGCACATGGTAATCTCACGATTTGGGAGGCAGAAGGCTTAGAAGTTCCAACATATACACACCAAGTTCAAGACTAGCCTGGCTTTCATGAAGCTCTGTCTCAAAACAAAAAGAGAAAAGAAAAATACAACACTTTATCACAGTGCCTGAACCAAAGTATTTGTTCAACACAAGAAACCCGAAGGAGACTACACCAGAGGTTTCTGGAGCCCTTGCCACTGCCTGGAATTCCTTTTCGTTCCTATAGCATCTTCTTGCATCTTCAGAACCCTTGGAAGTGACACAAAATGAAGTGACCTTTCTGAGGATAGAAGTGTGGCAGTGACATGGCACCTGTCACCTGTGTGACCATCCAGGCGCAGTCCTGCGTCTAACCGTCGGGCCTGCTTAGCTCCATCACTTAAAGCAGAAGGCTAGGCTGGCTGTTTCTGAGGCCCATTCATGATCCTTTTTGCTCTTTACACAAGCAACCCAAGCTGATTAGAGAAAAATGCCACATCACTCTTTATTCAACACCAGTGCCAGCACCATCCTCCTCCTCTCTAGTCACAGGGGCACAGGGGCACAGGGGCAAGGGGCTCTCTCTATCCCCTGGCCGGTAGACAGTGTAAGCCTGGCTCCGTGACTGTTCTCTTAGGGCCAGCATTCTCCTGGGTGCTCAGTGCTGTTGGTCACGGCTGCTCAAACTCCTGCTCACAGTAGCCTATACTGATGGGCTGGGCCTGGACCCCTCGCCTGTAAAAGGACACAGAAAATGAAGATGAGTAATTCCGCCTTGGACCATAGCAAGACCTGCACAATAACCACAAGCCCCTTCCTCATTTTAGTGAGTCTCAAAATATTACTGTACCCAAGTCTTCCTTTTTCTATCCTGCAGGTCTCTACTCCCCAAACCCCCCAAAACTAATTATGATAGAAAAGAGGTCAGGGCCTGAGGGGTGTCTGATGCTCTTGGCCCACTTGGATGTCCACTCCAGCTTCTAATATTCTATAAGAACAGCAGTGGAGACTGTCCTCTGTCTCAGACTCAAGTACTAGGAACTGAGCTAGGGACCTCCAAGCACATCTCCATTATTATCAAATGAACAAGCTTAGAGATAACAAAATGTTTCAGAGTTACCGGTGTCTGCAAGACTCTCAGCCCAGACGCCTCCTCTGCACTAGGCCGTGTTTTTAGGTTAGAAAGACCCAGTCACTAACTGAACCAAGGAAATGACTGCTTACACATGCGCACAGCCAAAGGAGGTGAACGCATTCATGAGAGCCCATCAGAGCTGACAGGTTCAATTCTTGCTTTCTGCTGACTTTGAGCAAAGTATTTAGGAGATATATGTGCCTAAAATGGGGACACAATCTCCCCACCTGCTGGACTGTGACACAAATTCAATGGGGTGGAACCTGCCAAGAACAGTGCCTGGCACAATAAGTTTCCCAGAGTTTCAGCTCTTATTCTTTTCTTCTCAGTTTGAGTTCCTGAGCCTCAGATCTGCCCACAGCCTGCTTACCTCAGCAGCTCACAGCGGAAATGCGACAAACGACTAAAGGCAAAGTCCATATCAGTTGTCAGGTTGCTGCTCCACAGTCTCTCGGCAATAGCACCGGCTCTCGGCCTATGGGAAGGAGTGTACAGCAGATTGGGCCCCACACAGCCTCCTTCCCAAACTAGCTCAAGGCAGAGAGATGTGAATGACACCTTGTTCAATGACAACAGCAAGGCAGAGGCTCTAATTCAGTTCCAAGGCTCAGCTCCACCCTCATTAGAACTATCCTCATTAGCATGCAGTCAGCGATCCCAAGCTCCTCCTCTCTCAAAGACACAGGAATAAGGTAAGCCTTAGAAGCAGGGATGGCTGAGGAGCTACCTTAACTTGGTATACCCAACCACATTTGGAGAGGCTACTGAGGAAATGACCTCACTCTTCCAGAACTGGATCCCAAGCAAGTACCCCGTGTTTTTTACTACCGGTATGTGTGAAGCTGAGACAGTGGCCGTTCTCCTGCACACCTAATGCTTACTGGAGGCACACACAGGAGACAGGAGCCTCCAATGCAGAGAAGTAGCGTCTCAATGCCCTTCTGCTGGCAGGCTGAAGGGAGTGAGCCTGTGAGGTTCACAGAAGCCCAGCCCTCAAGCCTGACCTCTCTCTGCCCTCCTGGCCTTGCCCCAAAATACGTACCAGAGCCTGGGGACCAGGTTTGTGCTGTCCACATACTCTCCCCACATACAGGCCTCCCCTCCAATAACTAGAGCCTTCTGTTCAGGGGTACCTACGGGAAAACAACAAAGGGTGTGTGTAGGGGTGGGGTGTCACTTTCAACCATCCTTCCAGTGTGGCCTCCTCAGACAGGCCATTTCATTTCCTAAAATGCCATGTGCTGCCCTGCTTCTCTTAACTTCCACCCTGCACCTCAACCCAGACTCTTGGTCAGCCAAGAGAGTATCCTGTTCTCACCATGAAATGCCAGGGGCTCCACTTTGTACATGTCCTTCCAGTCAGGGCCATATGTTACACGGTTCAGGTACCAGGGAGCAGAGAGCAGGGCCCGGAAGCCGGCCTTAGTGATCTGTTCCATCTCCTTCATGTACTCTACCGGTACCTCTTCCCGCCACACCTGTACGATTGTGTCTGGTCGAATCTGCCATGGAAGGTCAAAGGGCAGTCATGATAGGGACCGCAGAAGATTCTTGAGGTTCATTCTTATGCAAGACACCTGGGCCAAGGGGAGTATGTTCTTGTTTCCTAAGCAGCAAAGGATGCTGCTTCTGTGACTCCAGTCACTCATCTCACACACACCCTGAGGTGTTCCTTCTGACAGAGCTCCCTGATGCTTCCCTCCCAGGCCCACTGCAGCTTCCTGCATACATGGAAATAGTAATTACTTGGTGAGAACTGAGGGGAACAGCAGTGGGGCCCAAGCAAGGAAAAAGTCACCCCGCTCAGATTCAGAAGATTCATGCCTATAAACTGCACATAAGGCCTCAGGAATCCAAGCAACCACAGTTAGGTAAGAGGTTCTGACTCTAAAAACCCGGTGGTCACACCCTAGCTCTTTTAGAGAGTCAGAGAGCGATGGCACCCAGTTCTCTGACCAGGGAGATGGAGACAGGGGTGCCTCTTCTCTGACCCTGGCTCACCTTCACTTTATTATCAAACACTTCCTGCCACACCACATAGCCCTTGTCATAATCAGAGACGATGTTCAGCAGCCTGGAGAGAAGACGAACATCAGCAAAGTGTCACCTGGCCGTGTGTGCCAGCCCTCGAGGTGCCAAGCAGGCAGGGCCTATCCCTGACTGGGCGTTCCTGGGTCTACCATCTGATCACTCTAAGCCTGAACGGAGAGGATAAGGGAACCTCTGGGGGCAGGGGGCTGACCATCCCCCACAGGAGGTGACTCTTAGTGCGCCCCACCCTCCTTCCTTCCTCACGTCTGGATGTAGAAGGACTCCAGCTGCTTAAAGTCAGTAAAGCCCTTTTTCTTCATGAAGGCCTGGATATTGGGGTTGGATCTCCTGAGTAGAAAAGAAAAAAAAGATTAGTTCTTTCATCACCCTGAAATCATGACAACTTACAGATTAGGCACCCGGCAAGTTCCCCTTCACCTAAAATACTGAAACCACCAGAGACAGCAGAAGTCGTCCAGTGAAGGTATGGCTACATGAAGCTGTGATGAACCACGGACACACGCTGAGACAAACTCTCAGGGAGAGTGCACCTTCCATCCACACCAAAACCCAAGGCTAAACAGGAGCTGTAGCACGCTGGACATGGTTTCCCCTCTGCTGTTCTAGCTGGACACAGAGCTGATGATCTGTGACCTGCTGCAGGTTCCTTGTCCTACAGTGTCTGTTTCCACGTGCTTCTCGTTATGTTCCCAAAAGACAAGCTATTTTCTCAGACACAACTCTGGGGCCAACTTCTCAGAAGCCCCTAGGCCTCTTTTGAGCTCTATAGATCTGAGAGTTTGGATTTTATGAGTTAACATTAATTAGGTCTTATCACTTAATTAATCTTGACTTCATAATAAACTAATTTTTTAAGATTTAAGATTTTTTTCTTTATCAGTATGTGTATGCATGTGTGCAGAGTCCCCCAGGGTCCCTCAGAGGCCATAAGAGGTCAGATCCCTTAGATCTAGTTACAGGCATTTGTGAGCTGCCTCCTGACAGGTCAGTAAGTGCTCTGTAGCCTGTACTAGACTTACTTCACATCCCAGCCACAGTTTCTCCTCCCTCTTCTCCTCTCAATCCTACCCACCCCAACGCCTCCTCTGTTCCCACCCCCAATCCAATTCTCCTTCATTTCCATTTAGGGATTAAAGGCATGTGCCACCATCGCCCGGTGGAATTATTTTTCTTTAGCCCCCATTTTTCCAAGATAGTTATGGGCTCAGAATGAGTATATCCATAAATACGTCGGGGATGTGAGAAAGTTGAAGGGTTCACACTAACAGCCTTGGTAGTCACACAGGGCCTCTCTGGGCTGAGACATGGCTCCCTCAGTAGATAGTCCCTAAGTAGTGGCAGTAGGCCCACAATGCTGCCCTATATTCCTGAGTAACCCACCCTCAGGCTGGTGCACGAAGTCCAAAAGGCTCCTACCAGCAGGTGAAGTCTACTTCATCTCCTCCCAGGTGAAGATAAAAGTCCGGGAAGACAGAGCTGATCTCCAAGAAGAATGTGCTCATGAAGTCATAAGTACTGTTGAGACTGGGGTTCACAGGTCCAAAGGTGCCAGAGGGATGGGATCCAGAATAGCAAGGAGTTAATAACCCAGGGACACCTAAGTCAACAGAGAACCCACACAAGTGTTACAAATACAGACTCCCATGTATACTGCTCCTACACATGAGGCCCTTAGGTTATAGAGTAGATGTCTGTGTTCATCCACACAGGTATCACCCAGCACTCACAGTAACAACCTGTTTAGTCACAATCAAATAAATCCAAATCTAGCTGCCATCAGAGATGGAGGCAGGGTTATAGGCACATAACTGCTCATGTGTACTCCTGACCCGATACATGTCTTCCAGCATAAATCACTCAGGTCCTCAAGGTTGCTATTCTCCAGTGGCTCTCAGCAACAAAGCAAGGGAAATGGCACTGCACACACTGACAACCTCTCCTCTCTAGCTCCTGCTACCCAGCTCCACATTTCCTGATGGGTGTCTCTGGGCTGGGAGGCTTTTTGCTTCTGGCTGAGGCCAGGCAGCAGCCTTTTTCAATCTTCCCGAGAGTACAAAGTAATGGTGACCTCTGGGGGCCAGCCCCAACTTCTTTTTTTTGTTGTTTTTTTTTTTTTTTTTTTTTTTTTTTTTTAAACTGAGGCAGGGTTTTTCTGTGTAGTCCTAGCATGCATTCTATGGACCAGGCTGGATTCAAATTCAGGGATCCGCCTGCTTCTGCCTCCTGAGTGCTGGGATAAATTCTTTCATACAGATTCCACCCTGGTGATCAAACTCCTCAGTATCTACTCTAAGGTACAAGAAACTCACAACAGTGTCTGGGTAACATCTTCCCCTTTGTTGAGGGGGTAGAAGCCTGGGTATAGTTATTAGCCTCAGGCTGGATTTGTGGGCTTCTAAGGGTTGGGTTAACAGCTATGTACCAAAATGCCTAGGCTCTTCTCTCTCTGATTCATTTGTTTTATGTGTATGGGTGTTTTGTCTGTATATGTATCTGCACGTCAGATCCCATACAACTACTGTTACAGATCTTTATTAGCTGCCATGTGGGTGCTGGGAATTGAACCCAGGACTTCTGGAAGAGCAACCAGCTCTTTTAAACTGCTAAGACATTATCTCTCCAGCCCCATTTGCCCATATTTTAATAGCTCTCCTCTGCACAAATTAAATATTTCCCAGGAGCTGCCACAGACAGGAAGACTGGGGCGCCCTTGGGAACGGCATGGGTAGCAGGAGCCAGGATGAAGACAGTACTGCTTAGACTCAGTCGGGTCATCTGCTTGCTTGGCAGCGGGAAAGAACTTCCTCTAAGTAGTTGATGGAGAACAGTTTCCCCAGGGCTGAGGCAGGATATGTGACATATAAGAGCCAACACTCTGAAGCCCCTCTCTGGGCAGACCCATCCAACTGCAGCGTTATTCTTACCTGGCCCCCAGGACAAAGTGTGACCAGGAGTGTCAAATTCTGCCAGCACACGGATACCCCGAAGCCGTGCATATTCAATGACCTCCTTCACATCCTGTGATGTGTAGATGTGGGTGACAGGGTTGTAGGACCCCTGAAAGACAGAAGAAACCCTTCGGATTCTCATTCCCTGTGAACACTTGTCGACAGCTCATGTGTACTGGGGACTTCTTCAAGGGTTTTTATCATAATTTCCCCAAAATTAAGGCATTTGCTTCTCTCTTTTGGAGTGTGTGCATGACCCAGGGAAACATTAGGTGTGTCCCATATGACTTCTTATTTTCTAAGATGGGCACTGTGGTGGTTTGAATAAGAATGGTCATCATAGGGTCATAGATCGAATGTGTGGTCACCAGGGAGTGGCACTATTAGGTGTTGGCCTTGTTGGAGGAAGTGTGTCACTTGAGGTGGGCTTTGAGGTTTCGGAAGCTTAAGCCGGGCCCAGCGGCTCTCACTCTTCCAGCTGCCTGTGGATCTCGATATAGAACTCTCAGGTTACTTCTCCAGCACCATGTCTGCCTGCATGTGCCACGCTTCCCATCATGACGACAACAGAATAAACCTCTAAACTAAAAGCAAGCCCCAATTAAGTACTTTTCTTTATAAGAGTTGCCATGGTTGCTGGGTGATGGTAGAACACACCTTTAATCCCAGCACTCAAGAGGCAGAAGCAGTTGGATCTCTGTGAGTTCAAGGCCAAACTGGTCTACACAGCTAGTTCCAGGACAGTCAGGGCAACGTAGAGAAACCCTGTCTGGAGAATGCTGTAGTAATGGTATCTCTTCACAACCACAGAACAATGACTAAGACAGGGTCACTCACTGAACCCAAAACTCACCAGTAAGCTCCAGGGTTCCACCTATTTTGGCTCCCCCCCCCCTTTCTCTACCCTCACCCAGGGCTGGGGATCTGAATCCGGGTCCTCGTGTTGCTCATCAGACACTTTACTGACTTCCCTATCTCCCTATCTACTGTTTCATCTGAGCATTATAAGGTCAATGAGATAAACAACAAAGAATGGTGTCCATTTAATAGAATGTATGTAAATAACACATCAAAAACCAAAACCAGGAGGTATTATCTCCTGACGGTTTCAAAACAAATTAATGTGTGAACTTGAGTCCTTGGGCCTGACTCTGAAGTATCCTTTGCTTGGGGACGAGAACCACTGCTCTTGAGACTCTGGAAGCTGTTGGGCAGAGCAAACCCTACCTTTCTGGTGAGCACCGGGAAAGTGAAGCTCTCATATGGGAAGGAAGAGTCGTCTACCAGGTGCCAGTGGAACACGTTGAATTTATTGTATGCCATGACGTCCTGGAGGTCAGAGCACAGAGAGTGAGCCCTAAACTGGCAGACTGCTCTACACATAATAGCAAACTCAACCTTCCTTAAGCTCCAGGGACTTACTCATAGGGACTCTTAAGTCAGATCTTCCTGTGGGGGAGCAGGTTAGAGCCCACTGACATCTCTCTCCCAGATGAATTGTGGCCACACTGTGAGAAGAGTTGCAGCCGCTGCAGAACTCTCTTGTCTTTCAAAAGTCCCCATATATCTCAGATCAACACGTCCTCCTGCCATCTCTGTGATCTGACTGGAGGCCTGCTGGGACCTCCTCAGCAACCATACCACTTAACTCCCAGAAGCCAAGGCTGACATATATGTAGCTCCCTTAGTCCCAAAGGGACAAAGAAAAAGGCAGTCAACCAGGCGGTGGTGGTGCATGCCTTTAATCCCAGCACTCAGTAGGCAGAGGCCTACTCTGTGAGTTTGAGGCCAGCCTGGTCTACAAGAGCTAGTTCCAGGACAGGCTCCAAAGCTACAGAGAAACCCTGTCTCGAAAAACAAAAAACAAAACAAAACGAAACAAAAACAAATGAACGAAAGAAAGAAAGAAAGAAAGAAAGAAAGAAAGAAAGAAAGAGAAAAGGAAAAAGGTAGCCACATGAGCTGCCTGCCCATCAAATCCAGGAGCATTAGGAACTTCCACCGCAAAAGCTTTAGTATAAATTTTCCTATACTAGTGACTTGATTAAACTGCAGTCAGCTTTTCCTAGCAAGAGAAACCAATCTCCAAAACAGTAAAAGCAGCACTGTAACCAAACCACTCTTATCCTGGAGTATGCAGTCTTCTACACTTTTCCCAGGGGCTCATATAGTTACACACAGACACCCTCCCACCTCCCACCCACCTACCCCTGTGCTAAAGATTTTATTTATATGAGTGTTGTAGCTGTATGTACACCTTTATGACAGAAGAGGGCATCAGATTCCACTATAAATGGTTGTGAGCCACTGTGTGATTGCAGTCCAACTCATGACATCTGAAAGAGCAGCCAGTACTTTTTTAACTGCTGAGTCATCTTTCCAGTCCTAGACATCCTCTCTTTTATTTAGGAATATGACATATATTATCCCTTTCCCCATTACCCCAGAACCAATACTTGAAATGAAGAAGGCCTTAAGGCCTGGTTACCAGTGTGTCCAGGATGCTAGACAATGGCAGGTAATGGCGAGATGTATCCAACAGTACGCCCCGGTGAGGAAAGCGGGGAAAATCTTTAACCTTCGTCTTGTTGATAAAGAACTGCATGGATCAAACATTAAATGCTTCAGGATTCAAAGGGAGCTTATCACGGTGACAGAAGAATTAGAGGGACTCTCCCAAGATCCCCAAAAGTCAATGTGTGAATGTTCTCCAAAGCTATCCTGTCCTTCCCACCAACCTCCCTGCATCAAAACCCACAACTGTCCCATGTCAACTAAACACAAGCATTCCATGAACTACTCGGTCTACATACTGGATCTTCCCCAAGCTAGCAGGTTTATTGTTTTCAAAGCAATGTGGCATCAAGGTAATTACTAAGTGACCCACATCACAGTATCTCTACACAGACCAAATCTATAACCCTTATCTCTTCCAGTACTCCCACTGCGGCAATCTGGAGCCATCAAGACTCTATCTAAAGCAAGACATGATAGACTTTTGGAGGAAATCCCAAAGCCCTCTTGGAGAATCCATACTCACTGTTCCCTCAGCTGATTTCCAAACGAGCTGACTGAAAGTCTCCAGACCTGCAGAGAAGGGGAGAGGCAAAATTAAGGCCCAGGGAGTAAAAGCGATGCATCCACTTAGAAAAGGGGACCCAATGTGCTGCGCTTCACCACTCCCAGTGGACTGTGAAGAAAGAATCACAGCACAGAAGCTGTATCTGTAACTGGGCCTCTTCTGTATCTGAGGGGGAGACCCAGCTGCTCGAGGCTGAGGTATGAGAGATGCAAAGCCCAAGCACAGGTACACTGAGTTCAGAGTATTACATGTTCTCAACAGCTTGGGTCCTACTTCAGGAAACTCAACAGAGGTTCCACAAAAAAAGTCCCCAGATTTCAAAATAAAAGGCTCCACAAGACCTCAGTGTTTAGGCAGAACCTGGCTTGAAGCACACATTACTGTGTATTGTTTGGGCCTCTCTCCACTTGGAGTGGGAGCTCAAATGCTCTATACCTGAAGCCTTGCACCTTTTGTGCAAGAAAGCAGAGGACAGAGTGGGGTGGGGTTTTACTCCAAAGAATACAGGTCAGGTATTGGGATGACATAAACTCAAGTGTGCTTGCCTTGGCCCCCAAGAGCTGGTATTACAGGCATGAGCCACCACACCTAGCTTTTTTTTTTCTTTTTCAAGACAGAATTTCTCTGTAGCTTTGGGGTGGCAGAGGCAGGCAGATCTCTGCAAGTTCGAGGCCAATCTGCTCTACAAGAGCCAGTTCCAGGACAGCCTCCAAAGCTACAATGAAACCCTGTCTCAAAAAATCAAAACAAACAAACATGTGCGCCACCAACGCCTGGCACCTAGTTTTTCTTTTTTTTCCTCTCTCTTAAAGAGATGGCTGGTCAGGGGCTGGAGAGATGGCTCAGCAATTAAGAGCATTGCCTGCTCTTCCAAAGGTCCTGAGTTCAATTCCCAGCAACCACATGGTGGCTCACAACCATCTGTAATGAGGTCTGGTGCCCTCTTCTGGCCTGTAGGCATACATGTAGACAGAATATTGTATACATAATAAATAAATTTAAAAAAAAGAGAGATGGCTGGTCTACCTCAATTGCCCAGAATGACCTTGAACTCCTGGGCTCAAGCAATCTTCCTGCTTTAGTCCCCTCAATAGTTGGGACTGTCAGCATGCACTACCAGCATGCCTGGGTTAGCTCTACTTCTTGAAGTCTTTGCAATCACGTACTGAGTGAGCAGGACAGTGTCTGTGGCAGGGTCCTATCTCCCATTGCCACATGTGCTGCTATGTTCTGCCAAGTATTAGAGTTATGCACAGCTGCGAACTGAGGAACTACTCCAACCGCCCTCTTTATCTCCTACGTGGGTATTCACTGTCACCTCCTACCCCACCTGCTTACCTCGGAGTGCGCCCCAGACAGTCTCAGAGGCGAGTAAACACTGGTCATCATTTATGGTTAGGGTGTCTGAAATGACAAGTGAGACTAGATCAGTATTCTATTTTAATCTCTGAACAAGCAAGCAAGCAAGCAAACAGGAACGAGGATGGGTAAAATGCCTGCAATCACAAGGAATCTGAGTTTGGGTTTTCAGTACTCCTATAAAAGCCAGACTCTGTGGCACATGTAACCGATGTCCCGGGGAGATCCCGGGAGCTCACTAGCCAGCCAGTTTAGTGAAATGACGAGCCCCAAACTCATGAGAGACACTGTAAAGAAACATCAGGTGGAGAGTTTCATTTGCACATACACAAGTATACATACACCCACAAGAACATACTGCACACAACCATATGAACAAACATACATATTTCACACATACAAATGACTAAATCAGTCATCAACAGCACCACCCAGCAGGGTGGATACCACACTGGTTCTGCAGGCCTGGCAGATGATATACGTGGTGTAAGCTAGGCAGGGTCCCCTGCAAAGTTCCACCCAGCTTGCAGGTTAGTTTCCCCACCAGAACCTTGAGATCCTTCCTATCAGCTCTTAGCTGAAAAGTATGACGTTGACTTAAGTAAAGGGAGTTGGAAGGCCTGCAGAGTCCAGTCCAGCGTGCAACACTGACAACCCCTCTGCAGCCATCTTGCATTGCCTTTCCTCCAGACCTCAGCCAGTTCATTCAAGAATCTGAAGCAGATTTCAGGACTGAGATGTTCACACTGGAGACTTCTAAGTCCCAAATCTATTGTTCAGGGACATGAATCTCAGGACTAAGGATTTAGCTTCACTGTAGTATAAATGACCCCAAATTTCCTCCCCCAGTATAAGATGTCCTGAGGGAAAAAAAAAGCCAAGTGTTCATATTTTCTCCTACCCACCTTTTTTCTCTTTTTCAAGACAGGGTTTCTTTATGTAGCCCTGGTACTCTCTTTGTAGATCTGGCCTGCCTCTGTCTCCCAAGCGCTAGGAGTAAAGGTATGTGCCACCATGCCTGGATATGTGTCCACATTTCTTGATCAGTCCCCTGCTCAGTCCAGAAGGCAAAGAACACACCCCTGGGACTCAGTGAAGAATCTGTGTGACATTTTCTGTGGCTCTTGACACTTTCTGAGCCCTAGTCCCTAATCAGCCGCAGCTTAGCCAGGAAAGCCGGAAAGACAGTCCCAGACAAGAGCTTGTTTTGAGGACAAGGAGCATGGTGGTACTTACAGTTTTCTACCGACTCCAAGTTAGGAAACTCGTTACATTCAGCTGTGACGACGGCGACAACCAGAACGTTCTTCCCCAAAGTCTGCTGTTTTCCTGTGAAGACAGATAATGCTCAGTGGGCTGGCCTGCCCCAGGGCAGCAGGGTAACTCAGCTCTCCACACAGGTCCCTAGCACTCTCCCCTCTGAAAGGGAAAAGAGGACAGAGCTTTTACCCTTGGCACTGGCCCTGTCTGATCATGTTTAGCCTTCAGTCTGCTTGTGTTCCCACTTCCCCCAGCAGCCTGCTCTGACCCTGTCTAAAGAAGCTGGCAGCTATCCTTAACCAGGGCTCTCCGTTTCTAGCTACTGGTATTGCCCCAAGCACGATTCCAAGATCCCAACAATGGCTTCTCATGAGACACAGCTTGAGAGCACCTGGGTGTGCAGCGCCCGCTGAGTGGCAGACTCCGAAACTGCTGGAAGGCTGCGATGCACATCAGCGTCACAGCACTCAATAATAGTTTTGCTCCTCTCCAATCATTTTTCCATGATCAATTTATTTGTCTGTTTTGAAACAGAATCTTGCTATGTAGCCCTAGCTGGCTCTGAACTTGCTACATGTAGACAAGGCTGGTCCCAAACTTGTGGCAATCCTTTTGCCTCTGCCTCTTGAGGGTGCGGGTTATAGTTATGAATTATAGCTATAAAGCTCCCATACCCAAGGTCCATACCCGGATTTGTTCTTCATGAAAGGGAGGTCTACTCTCTGCTGTGCATCCTAACCTCACTCTATGCAGTGCTGCTCTTCAAAGCTCCCGCTAACGGCGTTCCCATTTGTTAAAGCCCACGAGGCGAGGGACAGACAGGACTGGAGACCGGAGGCCCCATGAGAGTGACTCACATGAGGAAACTATGCCCTCCGTGAAGGCTAGTGGCCACCAGCCCATCTGCTTCCTTCCACTCTTGTCCCTTTTGCTCATAAAGGCAAAAGCCATCCTGCGTTAGTCACATACTCTGGAATGATGCTCTATAGGCCCCAGGCCGTGCAGATAAAAATGCCAAGGGCAAAATACTACACATTTACGCATTTCTCTTCTTTTTCCAACCTTCTCTGTGAATTTCAGGATGACCTGATTTTTGTTGTTGTTGTTTTATTTTCTGAGACAGGGTATTGATTGATCTCGAACTTGCAGCAACCCTCCTGCCTCAGTCTTGAGTGCTAGGATTTCAGGCATGCACATCATACACAGCATTCAAATGTTCTGATCTTATTGCCTTCAATGGGATCGAATAAACTCTCTCTGCTCTTTCCTGGGGCTATATATATGCCGCTGACCCTACAACACTGAGACTCCCTACAAACTCAAAGTCAGGGATAGGCTGGCTTGGCAGAAGGCAGAGAGAGTCTTCAGAACCAGACTACAACACCAAATGTTATCCATCTCCAAGCAGAAGGGACCCAAGTGCCAAACACAAACCATGTGAAGAAAGCCAGACAAGGGATGCTAGGCCCTACCCGTATGTCTACATTTCAGCTTACAGGATGCCAAGCAGCCAGTCAGTAAAGCAGTCCCCCCCATCACACCCCAACCAGAGCCAAACGGATCTCTCACCTCACACTAAGCACCCCGTATCCCCATCCCACTAATTCCTGCTAAAACCCCTAGGGAAAGGAATTTGACTCAGATTTATCATTGCAGCTCCATCCTTCAGAGTCTGTAGTGTCTTCCTAAACCTTATAAGCAAAGGAGCTTAGCTCTCCCAACACACACCCACAAATCCCCAGCTGCAGTCAGGCGAAGAAAGCTGAAGAGCATAGTGCTCTGGAAACACATCTCATCTCCGCCCCTTCAGCCATCTCCTCTGGCTGTGTCCTGACAATCCTCTTGGCCCTGTCTGCCCACCTTTATTACCACAGTCACTGCCCTGAGGGCACAATGGAGGCGAGCTGCAAACACCAGGCTTGTCTGAGCCACCATTTGGAAGGCAGGAAAGTTCCCACTTTTTGTTAAATTTCATTTTCCTCTTTCTAAACACACACATTTGCTGTCTATAATCTGGACAAGGGAACTGTGTCACTGATGCCTTTGAAGACCCGAAGAGCAGGAAAGCACTTTTGCCCCCAGAACACTGTCTCTCAGATAAGGGCTCCTTCAGTTACAAACTGCTCTGCTGCCTGCCTCCAATCTAGAGATGAATCCTAGCACTCCCAAGCCTGCCTAGCTTTGGGATGATAAAGAAGTCCCTTCAGAGGCCTGGATTAAACAAGCTCCCAGAGGGAAGGTCCGGGGGAGGTGGCAGAACAGGAGGGACACTGGGTCATCTGGAAGGATGTAAACACTGTATTGGCACTGTTTTCCGCCTCCAAGTTGCCGCTGTGCCAGGCTCTGAAGAGAGCAGGAAACAGGCAGGAGCCAATCCAGCCGCCTCTACACTCATCAACACTCCAGCCCTGAGAACTGAGGTGTGGGAGGCCGGGTATGGCAAAGAGCCTGCTCAGCCAGCAAACACCTGGGCATGTGTGCCATGCCGTCAGCTGGGAGAACAGGAAGCTGTGAAGTCTCAGGTGCCCAGTGGTCTGGTGCTTGAGGGCTGGGAAAGCTGGTTCTGCTACCACCAAGCAGAACAGGTCACGGGCATCCACTTCCCTGTAAACAATGGCAGGGTGGGGCCACATTCCTGTTACCAGGACCTCGTGGAGAAAGCTCTCCAGGGTCCTACTGCCCGCCCTCTACCTCCTACCTCGCTCAGCACCCTCATTTCATCAGTTTAAATGAAGCGTTCTCTTCATTGGGCTGCAGAAGTTCGTATGCTTTTCTAACTAAAGACGTAATTGGAACATTATAGCAGTCCAAAGGCATCTAAGGATTAAATTATAAACATCGTTTTCATCCTTCATCTTCCTCTCACTGTGCCAAGCTTCCACTTCCGCAATACCTTGATACACAACACTGCCTCTTCACCACAGACATGGAGTTCTGAGAGCAGGGCCTTCTCATCACAGAAGGCCCACAGACCAAGTTTCTCTGGACTCTACCACACAGCTCCTCTGTTTCCTGTCAGTACGTCCTCTCCCACCCCTACTTCCTTCCTTGCCGGCCAGCTATGTAGGTATAACCAACAATACTCTCAATAGCTTGGCTATCACACCCAACAAGCAAAATCTTTAATCCTGATCAGTTTAACATTTGCCAGCTGTGTCTCAACCCTGTGCCTCCTGCACCTGTCTCCTAGGGCCTGGAGGAGAGACAGAGAAAGCAGGACTGTGTACATGACTCAACGCTGAAGTCCTTGATGCACAAGCATGAGGAACTGAGTTCGATCCCCAGCCTGCACCAAAAAAGGCAGAGGTAACAGTGCACACCTACGATCAAAGGCCTGGGAGGCAGAGACAGGAGGATCCTGGAGGCATGCTGCCTGGCCAGTCTAGTCCAGTGAGTTCTAGAGCCAATGAGACTTTGTACGAAAAATAGGAGAGGAACTGTGGAAGACACCGGATATCAACTTCTGGCCCCTACAGCACACGAATGGACATGTGTACACACACACATTGATCATATATACAACCCCCCCATCCAAGAAAGTTGTCTTCTGTGTACACTACTGCCCCCTTCTATTCTCAGTGCCATCCATTTCAAGGTTGTGCCACCTTCCTCAAGTCTAACCTGGTCCCACCTCCCTACTTTCAACAGACTGAGAACTCCCACCTACTTTACCTTCCCTTCCCACCCACCCAGCACCCCTGCAACACTGCACCTGTCCTTACCTTCCTCTCTCCCTCACAGCACCCCTGCAACACTGCACCTGTCCTTACCTTCCTCTCTCCCTCACAGCACCCCTGCAACATTGCACCTGTCCTTACCTTCCTCTCTCCCTCACAGCACACGTGTAACACTGCACCTGTCCTTACCTTCCTCTCTCCCTCACAGCACACGTGTAACACTGCACCTGTCCTTACCTTCCTCTCTCCCTCACAGCACACGTGTAACACTGCACCTGTCCTTACCTTCCTCTCTCCCTCACAGCACCCCTGCAACACTGCACCTGTCCTTACCTTCCTCACTCCCTCGATGGAAGAAATTTCCCTTTACATGCGCTCTGGATCTCCCCTCAGGCTCCTCTTGTATAAATTATCCCCCCACCAAGTCTTCAAGTGATTTATTTCCACTGACTCCCACCAGCATTAAAGAATTTGCAGATCCCTCAAACACTCTTTCTCCAAGTTTCCTGCCTTAGAGAAACTGTAGAGGAAATGTAGTCTGGGTTGGTTGGGACCAGACAGACAGAATTTAAAAACTGATGCTATCTCTTTTTACTGTAAGGCCCTGGGCAGGTTGTTCACTGAGCTGTGTTTTTTTGTCTGTAAAATGGGGATTGTGAAAGCGTCTATCTTATCCACTAGATAAGAGCAAGGTAAATACGTCAACACATGCCAAGGGCTTTTGGTACCTGGCACCTGGACCAAGTTAGTCTTTTCTTTGTAGCCACTTCCTCACACTCCTCTACTCTACATCCACTATGACCTAACTTCCCTCAGCACTGTCCTCTGAAAATCAGTGGGATGATCTTTCTATACACTATGAATATGTATTATTCTCGTTGGTTGATAATCTGATTTGGCCTATAGCAAGGCAGAATAAGGCTAGGAAGGAAAGCCAAACAGAAAATAAAGAGAGGGGCTGGAGAGATGGCTCAGAGGTTGGGAGCGCTGACTGCTCTTCAGGAGGTCCTGAGTTCGATTCCCAGCAGCCACATGGTGGCTCACAACCATCTGTAATGAGGTCTGGTGCCCTCTTCATGTCCAGCAAGCATACACACAGACAGAACACTATATACATAATAAATAAATTAAAAAAAAAGAAAATAAAGAGAGAAGGGCAAAGGCAGGGGATATTTGAGCCAGCAGCCAGAGGAATAAGAAGTGCTAGAAGACAGGGAAGCCACAAACTATGTGGCAAAATGTTGATTAATAAAAATAGGTTAATTTAAGTTGTAAGAGCTAGTTAGTAATAAGCCTGAGTTATAGGCTGAATATTTTGTAATTAGTATAAGCTTTTATGTGATTATTTGGAACTGGGCAATTGGGAAAGAAAAACTCTTCCTCTGTTTCATA